AATTGAAATTGAATTTTCTAAAGTCAAAATCCTCTCCATTCTTGGCTTGACAAGTGGCACTAAATCCTCTCCATTCATAGCTTGACAAGTGGCATCTTCTTAGCCAAGTAAAAATCAAGAAGCTTATTCCTTTTCTTTCTCTTTTTTTTTCCTTCTTCTAGAAACTATTTTCTTTTTTTGTCTATTTAATTATTTTGCCACTATTTTGGGCCGATTAGGTGTGAATTATGGGCCTAATGGGCTGGGGACTTTTGCCAAAATTTTCACTTTCCTGATTATTCTTAAATTATACTAAGTCCTGGTGTAGTGCTGGATGAATTTTTTTTTTATATCTTGTCAATTTTACTGTCTCAAAAAATTCATTTCAATGAACCGTTATCCTTCTCTTAGGATAGGGAAATTTCATGATTTTTCTCAAAATTTAATTCCCTCAAGAAATTTCTAAATTCCATTTTTTCCAAAATCGGCTCTTTACCAATGATAATTATGCTTTAAATATATTAAAGCTAACCTCCTCATCAAATGAAGTCCGGAGTAATTTTATAAATTATTATAATCGTCCAAGATAATTTTTCATTTTTTTCAGAATTATTGAGGTCTCTAAATAGTTTTCATAATTAACTTTTGGCCACTCTTACTTGGTGTAACAAAAAATTCTTGTAAATACAGAAAATTCTATATTTATTTATTTTCCTTCCAATAATTCCTCTAGGCCTTAAATACAATTCCTTGACCCTTATTTCTATCTTTCATCATTTTCTGGGAAATTTTGAGAATTTCTAACTTAAATTCTTAATTAAATATTTCTTTAGCTGATATTTAAAATATCAGTCTAGTCCTTATCCAAATTTCAAAATTCATTCCGGTGCTAGCTATAATTTTCTCTATCTTAACTGGCCCTTGATCTATTTAATTTCCTTAATCTCAGGGTTAAAATTTTCAAGATGTTACAGGATGCATGAATTTTTTGTATTTTCTTGGCCCAAAATGAGTCCAAAACTGGTTGGAAAGGAAGGGGGAATATGGCCCAATAAAAAATTATCAATTTCAAGTCAAAACTCACTATATCGGTTACTATTTTTAATAATAGTTCTAGGCCTCTAAAAATTTATTTTTATTGATCAAAAATTATGTTTTAATATAAAAAGGTCTTACGAATTTTTCTGGAATTTATTTCCACCTCTAACCTCCTATATTGAATTTTCTCCGAAATGGGGTTTTACCGATAAAGTTTTATCACTAATTATCTAAAAATAGTTTTCTTCACATCCTGAGGCTAGAGATAATTTTAAAATTCATAATAATATGATAAATAATTTTTTTCATATTTTTTCAAATTTATTGAGGCCTTGGGGTAGCTCAAATAATTAATTACAACCAAAAATCCTTGTCCGATCATAAAATACTGATAAATCTTGGAAATTTTGTAATAATTTATTTTCACCCCTTTTGCACCTCTGGGATCTCATATACTATTCTAAATACTCAATTCTCCATTTTCCCTATTTTTGGGGAATTTTTTAATTTTTCTGACACCCACTTGTAGTCTATCCTACTTATATTGGATATTATGAAAATATTAGTTAGAATCCTGTCTGAATTTTATGTCATATATGGCTTCGCCAAACAATCCACTTTTCCCATTGGCCCTTGACTTAATTTTTTATTCCCATTATCAGGATTAAAATTTGTAAAATGTGACATATTGCATTAACTTTATCTCAAAATATAACAATTTTTTTATTTTACCCCTATTTAATATGTTTTGAAAAAATCTACATTGAAATAAATGCAAAACAAAATATATATTATATTTATACTAAAAATTTAATGATGCGATTTATAAATATTACAAAAAAAATGTTTTATTTTTGCCTTATAATTAGACCCAGAGGAGTAGCATAGGGTGGTTTTATTCTTCCTATGAGTACTTGAATAGCCTTCTGTTGGTTGAGCGTCCAAGGGTTTAATTTGAGTGGGTATTGATGATGAAGGGAATTGAAAGACGACGCGCAGCGGAAATCAACTTAAAAATTTAAAACTTTCAACCCCTTGCCCGGATCTACCGATCGCGTTTAAGTTAGGTAGTAAGAAGCATTACCTTCGGTGTTCGATTTCCAGGTGGCTCGGTGATTCCGCCATTTAGGATGCCTCTGCTCGCCTCCTTTGTCGTTCGAAGTCGACAACTCCGGTCAGCTTCCTCTACCGGTATCCACACGAGTAGCCCTCAATCTCGAACAACGTGCTAGCATTTATGTTTGTCTAGGGTTTTCAAAAATCCGTCCTCTCTTTTCACTTTTGGCCGTCCCCTATCTGCTTAGTGCTTTCGCTCTCCCTCTTAAAACCCTAGCTCCTCATATCAAATATATAGGATGCTATAGGTTTAATGAATGATTTTTAATTTCGAAATTAATCCTAAATTAATTCCAAAATTAATATAATATCAAATATTGCCTAATCAGATAAGAGAATAATTAAATAAATATGGTTTATATTAAATCCGTCTCACAGATTTAATTCACCTATTTATTTAATTCAAAAATAAAGATATGACGGAATTAATTTACATAGATCTAATTTATCCTTATAAATTAAATCTAACAATTAATATCTCATATATTTATATAATATATATATACGAATATATATATATACATGTCCACCCTATATTATTCATTGAATCTGGACATATCTTAGATTCAATGAATCTGGACATCATAACTCGCGTTGGGCTATTTTGTGTGTGATCCTGTAGGCCCATATGAAGTTGGCAGTGGGCCATTAACTATAATGACTCACAAGTCGTAAGCGGTCTCTAGCAAGACATTACGACTACCCAAATCATATGAGGATCGTTGAACGATGTAACCTTTCATACAACCATATCACGTCCCTTTTGTCACACGACATTTTGGTCATGGATGAGGCATGGAGAACGTCATCCTCCTATTCATGACCGTTACTTTCTCGATCCCTGAGTAGTCTGAGTATAGAAACGGAACTACCTTTCCATTATAGTATGGCCATACATTTCTCAGACTCACTCATCGAGGGGCCTAGTAATATCTCTCTACGAATGTGAGGGACAAATTCCATCTTGACCATTCACATTCCTCCGCATGAAAAACCACTAAGCCTGAACATAGTCTTTATGATCACTCGGTCAAAAGTGACTTTTGACTAGGTCAAAGCTAAGCGTTTCTCATGTAGGAATCCATGATGATCTCAGATCAAAGGGCACAGTGACATGGTTTGTATATGAGAGAGGCTTATGACTTAACCCATGCAGCTCTCTCATAGCGGGTCAGTCCAACACCTTGTACTCTTACATGTGCCTATGACTTTAATTTATATCTCTATATATCTTTAAAGTCATATTGGTCTTATTTCATCTCTGCTCCCACATAGATGACCGACCAGGGACATTTAGGATAAACCATGAGTTATCCAAGAATAGTCATCACAGTAAACATGCAAATAATATGATAACGTAATTAATAAATTCATAAATTAACAATGTTCAAAACATAATGATTGGCCCCTAGGGCACAATTTCCAACAGATGAATCCCATTTTTTGTTCAAGGCCATGACTCAATTACATCATTTAGTAGTCTCAATAGAAGAGATTGACTTTTAGTATTCAATTACACAAGCATTTAAAACTAATATCGACAAATGATTGCTCTATTTTTTGGCTTTTCTTATTTCTTCGATTACTGAATAATTTCAACAAGCACAAATGACACTTTTTCTAAGCTTATGATACTTGCCCATATTTTCAACTTTAGGAGATGAGTAGAAACATTTTTTGGCCATTTGATAGGTAGGAATATTAGGTAAGTTAAAGATTAATCACTAAGAAATTTTCTGAGATAGATTTGTTATTAACTAATTTAATTGTGGTATGAATAGATACGTTAATGAATTTTTTTGAGGAGGGTTTTAGGAGGCTTCAAAGATTAAGTATAAGCCAGCCTTGATGAAAAGGGGATGGAAAATTTGGTTTCAATCATGGTAGTGTGTGGAATTTGATATTGAAAAGAAAGTTGAAATGTAATATTCTTATACTTATGTCAATATGATCGTGTTAATAATAAAATATATTTTATTATATTTTATACGTTTTATATAATTTACTTTTAGGATTATTATGTCATGAAACTATATTTAAAGTTAAAATATACAAATAGATGATACTTTAAATAAATTGAATAGTAATAAGTGATATGTTTTTGGGGGACATCAATGAAAGTTTCTATAGGGGTTTAAAGACTTTATAATTTTTTTACTCGTGGAGAGAAAAAAATTTAAAATCTACAACATGGACTATAGTAACAAGCATATACTCCTTCCAGTGCATAATATGAGTCGTTTCTGGTTTGATTCAAAATATAAATCACTTTTTTGAATAATAACTACCTTTTCTTTGTTCTAATTTTTTTTTTTAGCAAACCTTTGCTTGGTTCTAATGAATTAGTTAAAGTAACATATATTATGAATCGAAAGAAATATGTGTTTTTGTAATTCATGCGTTTATTAAATAATGGTGACAATATAGTTCTTTCAAGACATAATTATCTTATAGTAATGTACGATGTTATATGTCAACATCACATATGATTATACTAAACATAAATTTATTACATATGTATTATCACATTGTCATTCATATTTCATGATCCATCAATCCAAAACCTAAACATAACTAGTGTAGTTTTTTATACTACTGGTAATGAAGACAATAAATATCAATATACCTATTTTGAAGTGACGCAGAGATTTATAACTATAATTATTGATCAAGTATTTTCACAATTTTGCATGTTTGACATATTTTAGAAAAAACGCTTAATATGTGTTTTCGAATTCAAACTTTAGTAATTAAACTATTCGATTAGTTAACCCGTGCAGCGCATGAGATGAGATGAGACGTCTAGTTAAACAAGTAATATTAAAACCTCCCAAAGACCGACCCTGCCCTTCCATCCCTGCCCTACCTTCCGCTCAGACCAAATAGGTGGACGGAAGTCGGCTGAACCCGAAACTCTGATCCCTAGGCTCTTCGGCCTTGGCATCGAACATTGGAACTTCATTGCTGCAGGCCTCGTCTCCTCGCCGTCGCTGTCGTTCTCCTCAGTCCGGTGAGTGAATTTAAGGAGTTCTCAATCCACTTTCTTGGTAGTTGGATTAATTCTTACAGCAATTGGATTTAAATCTTGTGATGTTCTTTAAGAAGATCAACGGATATTCATCGGTTAAATGCTCTTGCTAAAGGTCAAAACTTGTGAATTTTACTGTTTAAGGAACGCTTACTCTTGTCAAGTGTTCCATTCTATTCTAAATCTTTGCTCGAAAACTTTTGATTCCCATTTGTATGGGTTCTTGAGCAGTTGATAAGTGACTGATCCCAATGATATTATATTCCTGTGCACTAACTATAAAATGGATTCTAGTACTCGCTAAAAATATTTCCATGTTGTAAATCACTACAATGAGCTTGTGAGTTCGCGCTTTTCTGTATAAAAAACAAGGATACGAAGTTAATGAGGTGAAAATTGATTTAGTTGTGCTATGTGGAATTCACGTGCTTTGTAAGCTGGCACTCATAAGAACTAACACGAAATCATATTTTCTCAACCCATTATGGCATATTGTTGAGGATTTTCTGAATATTAAGATGACTGAGCTCAATTAGTGGCAAGTTGTCTTAGTAAGCCTAAATGAAATAATGGAGAAGTGCGCGTGCGCGCACACACAGAGTATCTGTGATTTCCCCCGTTGACAGGCAAGCAGCTTCTGAATCTCTATGTGCAAACTGATTATACATATATGTAGTGCATCCTCTTCAGCTTTCACGTATGAATCTCTAGCACACATTGCATCTTTTGTGATCCACGCTCATTGCATTTTATCATGCTTCTGTTTGCGTTGGAAATTGGAATTAAGTTCTGTTAGTAAAAAGTTTTTGGTTCAATGAGCAAGACTTTCCATCCTTAGAATTCTGTTTTTAGCTGATTGTTTTGCGCAGAGAGCTAGGTGACAAGTAAAAGGAGATAGAGTGTTGAACACAGGGTAAGTTACCTCCACCCTTATCCTGAATCATGATAGCCACTATAGTACACAATATGATGGCTTTTTCGAGTGGAATTTTATGTGAAAAGGTGCTACTGCTGTATGCTTTCCTTAGGGATTAAGAAAAAGTTGTTGAATAATGAAAGATTGCTAGAATGCTAGCAAGTTGATAGGAAAAAAATTAACAGTTTGGTACTAAGATTGCATGACGCAAGAGATTTCTTAGAGATGATTGTGCTGCATTTTGAAACTTTGATGGTTGAAAAATCTCTTATAAAAATATTTCATAAGCTGCACTTTCATAAATTATTAACAGCATGACTCCTTCTTCCTTAGATTTCACATATGTAGGGGAAATGTGTCTAGCTCTAAAGAAAAAATAATTGAACAATGTTAACTGAACAACCAAAACAAATTAATTATGCTTTAGATTAATTTACTCTATTTTTTCTTAGTTCGATAAAGCTTTTTGCAAATACTGAAACATTGATTTTGACATCTTCTATCTCTTTCCGTAGTCAGTGTCAGATACTGTTGCTGCAGCCTAGAACCCTAGACTAGAGTATTGGGTGGGGAAGAAAGAAGCCATGAATGCCCCAGATCGTTATGAGCGTTTCGTTGTTCCTGAAGGCACAAAAAAGTAACTTTGTTGACTACCTTCTGCTCTTTCTTTTTCATCCAATTTGATTATTTTTCCAATCACCAGAGATGATTTGATTATTTTTCCTTTCTCATATTTATATATTCAGGGTCTCTTATGAGCGGGACACCAAGATCATCAATGCAGCATCCTTCACTGTTGAGAGAGAGGACCACACAATAGGCAACGTTCTTCGCATGTATTAATTCTACTCATACTTTTTATCTCTGAGTCTCTATTTACATTGCTATCTGTTAATATGATTAATATAAAGCCTAACCCTGTTTGGCCCCCCCCCCCCCAAAAAAAAAAAAGCCTAACCCTGTTTGTATTTCGGTGAGCATAGGCAGCTGCACAGGGACCCTAATGTGTTGTTCGCTGGCTACAAGCTTCCTCACCCTCTTCAGTATAAAATTATTGTCAGGGTCAGTATCTCTTGCATTCATTCTCTTGTTAATCTGATGACTGATGACATCTACAGTTGTTTTATAATGGGCAATTGTTATTTGTAAACAGTGCAAAATGTTTGTTGATGAAACTCAAATGCTGTGTCTATCGAACTGTGATCTTTGCATCCAGAGAATATTGACGTTTGTCTTTAATCTTTTAGTGGAAGTCTACAAAAATTCATTTCTCTGTAAGTGAACAGAGATATTATGAAAATTAATTATTTTATTGATCTATTTTCAGATACACACCACTAGTCAGTCTTCGCCAATGCAGGCGTATAATCAGGCCATTAATGATCTTGACAAGGAACTGGATCATCTGAAAAATGCCTTTGAGGTTTGGTGAATATTTTTGTTATTCTGTCGACAACCCTGCCTCTAAGCTCAATGAGATCTTAAATGTTTTTTTTCCCATGGGTTCCTTTTTTGTATTTCTTCTTACATTACTTGAAATTTGCTGGTTGAACATCTTGTATCCACTTGTACTTGTGGGGGAATGTTGATCAAATGAGACTCAATCTACATAACATTCTACATAAAGAAGCAAACTCCTAGGCACAATTTTGGCCTGTCCTGCTTTATAGCTGTGAGCTTTGTTATTAGAAACATAATTGATCTTGTTATCTGCATTTTTTGTTATGGCAGTTACAGTATTTCTCATTATGGACATTAAAATAATGTGTTATGGATTAAATCTACGTTTTGTGAGGGCTTGCAACTTTTCTTTTCTTTTGCTTGATTAAGTGATGATTCCCGGAGTAATGATAGGTGATTCTGGAGTTTTTATGCAGTTCTCTGGAATGTACATCGTATACTAGTCTTAATAGCATTATTGGTGAATAATCATGCCATGTTGGGTGATTTCATGTATTACAGAAAGTATGTGATGTAGTCACAGCTCTGAAATAGTATTATTCAATGGTAGAAAACCCCCCCACAGAGTATAGGTCTCGTGGAGATACACCCTAAACAAAAGGAAATAACACTACCCTATGCATTCGAGGCACAAGAACTCTCCCACTTCACTCACCACCTTAACCAGACCCCTGTTATATAGCCCCTCTCTCAACTGTCAAATGAAATACCACAAATACCCACACTCACATGGTTCGCACCCCATATGTCAATATGACCCTAATACTAAACAGTATGGTATTTTGAATTATTATGACTGATCCATTAAAAAAAGTGCTATTATAACTGAATGCTTGGACATTTGAAATGTGATTGTAGTACAAGATATTTTTAAGGATAGGTAGATTTATCTGAAGATTCTTAAATACTAAGCCCGTTTTCTTGAGTACCATAACTGTTCAAACACATTCATAATTTTTATTGCAGGCGGAGATGCTGAAGTTTTCAAGGGATTATTGATGGACATTCCGGGTGCACATGACATTAGGGTGTAAACAAGATGGTATGAGCGTTGTACGAGACTTGTCGAAGTCTGATGGTGTTGTACTTTGGAACTTATCATCGTAATGTTGAAAAGGGAAGTCTCAACTGAAATATTGCAGTTAATACTCGTAACGCTACTTCTGGTTTCTTTTTGGTTACTTACTTTCCTCCTGCCTTATCTTCCTCCAATTAAGTTCTCTCAATTGAAATTTAATTAAGGGCTTGTAGCAGTGATAACTTCTGAAACGCAATCAAACAGATGTACGCAAGAACAAAGGATACATGTGATAATTTCAAGTACTGTATTATGCTATAGTCGTCACAGTACAGCCACAGATGGAAATAGCAATCACAATGGATGAAGGAAAAAGTCTTATAGTATCATAGAAAATGTAAGAAAATCACGGGGAAGAGAAAAAATGACAGAGGGAAAGGTTCTTACAAACTTCTGCATGAGCAATCAAAAGGAACCCTGGCACCTCGCTTACTCGTACTCATGCGCTTTCTACATGCTCTGATGTGCACGGTTGCTCCTTCTCGCAAGCACATGAGATATTTGCTTTGGCACTATCACCTCATCTAAGTTTTTGTCATGCGGGCTGCTATCTGAGCCTATCATAGTGTTGATAATATTATCTCTCCCAGTGAGCCGGACCTTGTGAAGGTCAAAATCAGGGTAATCATTGATAAAAATTTCTGTATCCTCCTAGGATGCAGGAATGGCATCATCCCATTGACCTGGCAACTGAGCGGAGGGATGTTCTCAACGTGGCACCTAGTGAGTCTCAGGGATCTTTAGTGGTTGGAACAATGGTCTTGACTTGGTACTTTGCCATGGTAATGGTAGGTATCATGCAGTAGGAGTTCCTTCACATTTGGTAAGGAAAGAAACATGAAAAAGGTGTGTGTGGACCTGACTAGATCGGGTTAGGTGTCAAGTCAGGATCTGGTTGGGTTAGGACCTCCGGCTAAGCAAGGCAGCCTAAGGTCTGGTTCAACGTAGTACCAACCTGAGGTCGGATTGGATTAGACTTGGTTCATTGGACGGCTTTGACTAATCCAGACAATCTAGGAACTTATGTTTTTTCTTTTTTGGGCTTTTTTGAATTGATTTGTATCCACCTATTCAAGTACAAAATTTGACATTTAAAAATATGCAATTAACAATTCAGTACCTTCTTAGCCTATTGTTTTTTTAGCCAACTAGAAATTCCATTAAAACTAATAATGCAATCAATAATCTAAAAACTTATATCTAAACAATATCTAAATAAAAGTCTCATTTCAACAATTAATTTAATTGTTCATGTGGCTACACAACTGAATCATTTGGGTAAAAATACCTAACACCATTCAACAACAATAAAAATCCATGTTATAATCCATGACAACATCAAGTCTATAACATTACATGTGGCAAAACTAAATGAACAACAAACGATTGAAATCTAATTTTCATAATATTGAGTATCAATTGTCTTTAGAGGTGGAAATCAGGGCTGACCCGGCCCTCCAGGAAAGGGCTAGCGGGCTTAAAAGGGATGGCTTTTCATGGTCGAAATTTCAAAAATACCTCAATTTACTAGGTCCGGCCCTTAAGCTAATGGGCTTAGAATTGGCCTACGGGCTTTTGGCCCGTTTAAAAAAAATAGTACTTTTTATATTTGTCATATTTTTTTTATCAAAAAATGAAAATAAACCAATAAAATTATTAATAAAAGACATAAATATGAATAAAATTAAGTCACAAATACAAAATATCATCATATCCATCAACATCCAAGAATATCTAAAACATTTACTAACAAGATAACAACATCCAAAAGTTTTATCTATAGTGCAATTGTGCAATAAATAAACACTATCATTAATCTTTTAAAACTTCATCATCACTATAATCAATTACTCTTCTTCATAAGTATGCTTTTCTTTCGTAACAAAAATATCAAGTTTTTCTTCTTTATAGGAATTTTACTTTTAAATTTTACAATCTAGTTATTATTTTACTTTAATGTGAGAAGCATTGTTGTTGAAACTCATAAATTTTTAATTCAAATTATAGAATCACAAGTTATATAAGTATAAAAATACTCTATTATCAAATATATATATAGTTTAAAAATATCAACGCATATAATATAAATCAAATCATTATTAAAGTTCAAATTAACCCATGTTTTAAAAATTTAATTGGATAAATTATTGTCTAAAACTAAATAAATCAAATCATTATGTAAAATTTAATTTTTAAATGATAATAATAACTAAATATTTGAAATATTATTAACAATGTAAAAAATTAATAATATTAGAATTACATAAAAAATTTAAAAAAACAAAAAAATTATAAAAGGGCCTAAACGGGCCGGCCCTTGACCCTCCAAGGCCAGCCCTCGGCCCTCCAAGGCCAGCCCTCTAGGGCTTGTTTCCTATTTGAGGGGAAAAATTTCAAGCCTGGCCCTCATAACTTCAGGGCCTAAAAGGATCGGCTCAATAGGCTAGGCTCGTTTTCCCAGCTCTAATCGTCTTCATTCATTTTTCCCCTTTACTATCAATAATATTAGATCCATCTGACATATATATACATATAAGAAAGAGGTATTAGCAATAAATAATGACTTTTGCAATTTTGAATTTAGAAGTATATAATTCAAAATGTTATTTGGAATATTAACAATATTATCAGTCTCTTGAAAGTTGTCAAATCCAATCAGCATAGAGGCAAATTCTGAGAGAGATTGCCCAACAACTAGCCAAATTTTGAGCACAAATGAGCGATTCAATCATCTTAGGAGATATATAACTTCTATAATCATCAACATGTCTTTCAATGCTAAAAGCTGATTCAAAGGCCGTTGTAGATATTGGTATAGCTTATACATCACATGCAATCATAAAAAGCACTCTGTACATGGTAGAATTATTGATTCAACCCCTGTCCTTAGTCCCCTTGGGGTTGAGATCACAAATTTACCAAGAATTGCACTATAGTAGTACAACCTTGGGTTGTTTCACTTAAAGAGCCTTTATTTGAATCTAAAGTTAACTAAGTGACAAAAATGCAAGATTGATAAGGGTAAAATGTACATGTATGCAAGAAGTGAATAAAATATTTTTGGTCTTTTTGGTATGAAAATAGAATCGATGGATGGAAATAAATGAAATGTAATGGGATGGATCTCTTGAGGCTTGGTTAGGTGGCAAGGTTTAGTTTGTTTTTTTCATTAGGGGTTAGATGCAATTTGGATTGGATTAATGTATTTTTTTTAATTAAGTTTTGATTAATGGAATGCTCCTAACACTATCATGCTATGCACTTAAATTTCAATCACCTTAATTACTGAAACTACAATCAATGCACAACTCCAAGATAGCACAAATACATAATCAAACAACACAATCATGCTAAGAGACTCAATGTAATTTAGCTTAACTAAAATATGCATTAATAAAACAAAGTACTTAATTACAATAATCCAAATCCCATTATGATTAAATCTAATTCTATTATGTTATTTCATATCATTTTCATGGTTTTAACTTTGAGTTATTGGCTCTTTTGCAAGGAAGAGTGCTTGATTTGACACTATTCATAAGAAACAATTTATTGTCTCTTTTGCAAGGAAGAGGGGTATTGTTGTCAATTCCCTACTCCTTCTTGACACTTGGCAACTTTAAATACTTTCCATTAGAGGTTGACAAGTGCCAAATTGTGGGCCAAAGAAAGTGCAAGACTCTAGTCTTCACTTTATCGGTGCACTTTTACTCCGGATTTAACTTCTTTTCTATAAATACAGTACTCTGACCTCTGTAATTATTTTCTGTCAGATCCATAATTTATTCTCCTCATTTTTATTTTCTCAAAAGGCCCTCTTAACTCAATCTCAATTTTTCATTAATTAAATAAAAAGGAAAACTATTCTCCTTCTCATTAATGATTTTTTCCCACTTGTCCAAAGAATTAGGAAAAATCATGGATATTTAAGAGTCTCCTTTCAATCCCATAATCTCTTATAATTTCTTGAGACATCATAAGAATTTTCTTGGAATTTTATTCTCCTTAAAAATATTTATTTAGAATTTTCCAAATAAAAGGCCTCAAATTAGCCTAAATCAACCTTAAATTCCTTTGTAATTTTTCTAAGGGTAATTTGGTCATAAAACTAATTATACATCCTCATATAATTCTCAAGAAATATCATCCTTATTATTTCTTAATTTTCTGAGGCTTAGAAATATTTTTTCATAATTATTTTTGACCAATTTTTCTTAATTAGTCAAACTTTCATAATTGACTTAGAAAATCATAATAATTATTTTCCACCATAATTCTTCTATTTCTCCTTATCATTTTTGGCCCTTAAATGTTTAGGAATATCCTTATTCCTAATTACCATATTACTAGATATGACACCTTCCAAGTCATCAACGATGTGATTGCACCAGATAATGCAGTATAGGATGTAACCAATCGTTCTTCTAGAGGAGCGTTTTATTGGAAATCTAGTCTAGATTGGTGATAAGTCTCATTATTTGCATATATTTCTAGTCTTAAACTTATGCTTTTGCCATTTATAATTGCATATTTTGGGTATAATTAGCTTTTATTGTGCATAAGAGTTGATGAAGGGAGTTGTAAGGTTTTATTTGTGTTTTTGCATGATTTTATATGATTTTATTTGTGTGTACTTTTAATCCTTGTTTGGTGTGAGTTTCAGGGAGTTTCTTCAATGTTCTGGCTACTCTGTATAAGGCACCATGACACATCATTTTAGGAGTTGCAGCAGATTTGCAAAACTACTCTTAGTAATAGGCGCCACGGCGGATGATCAAAAGCACCACAATGGATGCAGTTCAATGAAGAACTCAGAATCACTAATTGAGATGACACTGTTTTGGCCAGGCGCTGTGGTGGATATGAGGAGGCACCGTGGCAGACAACAAAAAATTTCAGATTTAAATACAGAAGTCGCGTGCTCGTACAGGGATCGATTCATCCAGTCCTTCCATCTCCAGATCACCAGTTTCTTGTTCTCTCTGCCTTCTCTCAATTCTCTCTTCAAATTTCATCCAAAACCTTCATCTTCCACCAATCATCCATGGATCTTTCATTGATTCTTGCTAATTTTGCTGCAATGCAGAGCATAGTGGCTGAATTCTCGAGTTCTCCTAGCAATGAAGCTAACCTGAGTTCATGGAGCTGAACAGGGAGTCTTTTCAAATCTGATTTTCACTTTCTATTCTAAGATTTATTTGTATCAGTTGAATATTTGTGATTAGAATGAGAGTTGCGTGATTAGATTTATGTTTCTTGGAATTTAGAGCTGATTGAA